AAAGATTATTATCTTATTCCACTTTTTTATGATATATTAATTATGATATATTCTTGTAAGATCTGGCGGTGTACGATCAGAAAGAATTGTTACGCGGCCATATTCTTAGAAAACAGGTAGAAAATTCAACATCAAAAATTCTAGTTAAATAATAAAAAAAAAGAAATTTGATAAACAGCAACAACAAGATCAACTTCCGTCCAACAAAAAGGTCGGAAAGTCAAGGCTATCAATTGTACTGGCTTTACTTATTAATTACAGTCAAAGACCATTTTATGTAAAAATGTTAGGAAATTATATTATTTCAAGTGTGTTTTTGAATAAAATGACTTTATCTAATAAATAAAATCATCGAGAATAGAAAATGGCTAATATTGGTTACTAATATTAAACGTCAAGATCGTGTCGTTGATGGTGCCATTGGATATAAATATAATAACTGGGACCCCATTGAACCTCAATTTACGATCCATAAAGATGGTTAAGTGTAAAACGCACATAATAATTTATCTCATCTAAAATTTTAATTTTTTTACTGAAAAAAAAATAGAACATGGTGAAATGATAGTTGGCTTCGTAATTCCGTAATTATAATTGTTGCGGAATTACGGTTTTAAAAATAATAATAATAGTATTAATTACGGGAAGAATAATTTAATATTAATATTAAAAACCGTAATTCCGTAAATAAATTTTGGCTGCTACACCGTAAAGATGATTTGCTCCCGTGATTACTGTTGGCTCCGTAATTATCTATTACAAAACATTTATCTGTGCATTAAAGATCAAATGTGTCTGATTGTTAAAATAAAATTCAGATTATTGAGGCAGGTAAAAAATTATGGCTTAATAGCAATTTAACCGAGTTGTATGTTATTATTAGCTCGGCAAGAAAATAGGCGAGTGGTGTAAAAATATCAATGTACTAGTGCAGAACACCTAGCCTCTACAACTTTTATTGGTCTTGCAGATCCTTTAACTCTTCCAAAAATGGAAATATATGACCAAAAAACAAGATGTAATTTTGAAGCCAAGACCTTTCTCTACAAAGTTACATCTTCATTTTGTTGATACGTCATATTGTTGTGGAGGAATTAAGTCTCAAAGTTGTATAGGTTTAACAAATTTGCTATGTTAACCCCAAAGCGACGTGGTTACACGCAAATTTTTTATATTAAAAATGAACGAATTGGAAGAATTCCTTAAAAGACATCATCGATAAACCTTCTTTCTCTATGGCATTTCCGAGATTTATGATGACGCATAGTATAATAGGATATTGCAATAATTGGGACACGCGAAAAAATATAATATTATTAGCTTTTACTTTTGTTTTTTTTTTAATGGATGTGTATTTCAAATTTTTGATTTATTGTTTTATATATAATATAAATATTTTTACATTTAAATAATAAATGTACTATAAAAATTCACCTAAATTAAACTCTAAAGCTGAACATGGATAAATTATTTCAAAATTTTCTAAAACTTTTGGATGAATTATACCAAAGTTTCCTATTTTTTTTGTGGTCAGAGTTTCTGAATTTGTCTTTTGTCGTAAAAAAATATCTGCACTACGATTAGGAAAATATGTTGGATCTAAATTTAAAAAGATATTTGTTAGATTTTCCTATTGAATTAATAAAATAATGTATGTTTATAAATTTTCTTTACCGTTAGATTCTTTGATATAGTAGCCAAGCTTATCCGAAGATTCAGGAACAAGTTCTACGTGCAACATGTTCATAAGACGATTTACAAGTCCATGGATAGTCTAGTCAAAAACAAATCATAACAATTTTTAATAAATAAAAAATCAAGAGCCTTTGATGTATTTAATGGTGATAATAATATTTACCTCAAACCCTGATCCTTAAACCGAATGAAATTAAATTTACCCCACTGAATCAAACAAAAGAAATGACTGGTGAAGAGTTAATGCAATTTTATGAAGTAATATTTACATATATATAAATCATTGTTTTTAACTAAATAATCTAATATATATATATTTTGATGGGATTAAAATAGAATGACAAGCATCTTGGAAAATTTCTTCATATTATTAAAGATTCGCCTGTTTATCCAGTTATTTATGATAGCAATCGTATAGTTTGCTCATTGCCTCCTATAATTAATGGAGAACATTCAAAACTTACATTAGCAACAAAAAATGTTTTTATTGAATGTACAGCAACTGATCTATCAAAAGCAAAAATTGTATTAAACACTGTTGTTACTATGTTTTCTGAATATTGTGAGCAACCTTTCACGTAAGCAATTTAATTTAAATTTTGATTTTTTAAACATTGGTGTTAATAATATTTTATTATTTATTTTATTATAAATAAATAAATCAAATACATTTAGTGTTGAACCTGTTGAAGTTATATATCCGGATGGCACTTGTCACACTTATCCAAATCTTAATCCACGTAGAATGGAGGCCAAAGTTGATTATATTAATGCATGCATAGGCATAAAACTTAACG